CCCCATCTCTTACAAAAGGCAATGGATGCTGCAGTCCAGACCAATCTAGCCAACTATATACTCGGTCCTCATGTACACTACTGGGACCATAGCCTAGCTGAAGTGAACCACCCAATAACTCCCACTAGGTCCACCCCTATCCCTGGTTCCTGTGCTTGCCAGTATGCACAGCAGACTAGTCATTTGTCCCACAACCTCTTTAGCTCTCATACATATCAATGGACATTGGAGGCTAGTGCAGCTCAGCTGACGCCACTATAGAGTTGACACTCATGCTGGCAGGTGCCACCCCTTGTCTAACCAGGCCTTCCCCAGTCCTGTGGGAATTGCAGCCCGTCAGAGAGGTGCCCACAGTTTCCTTACTGGTTCCACTTCCAGTCCAGATCTTACATTCTCCAGGAGGTTCTGCAGTCTATCTTGACAGGATTTGCCCCAATGACAACATTGGTCAGCTGATGCTGTGCCAAAACCTGACAGACTGTCCTTACTCTGTTTATGTGTGCACCAGTGGATACAGTTGGTTAGCTCAGCCTGGCTTTCCTCCAACCCAATTTACATGCAGGCCAACAGCAGCTGTAGCCCTGCCTGACCTGGTCTATACACAGTCCCCATTCTCACGCTCACCAGTGGGAGCAGTGACCCATCAGGAGAGTCCGTGCCATTCTCCATAGTGGGCTCACACCCCTCCCCCTGGGTCTTAACATGTGCTGGATGGTCCTGCGACCCAGTCTCACACACGCCCCCTCACCTTGGAGTTTGCCAGTGGATGCTTTAGACTGGCCAGGCCTGATCTGTGCCCAGTTCCACTTCATGATGGATGCTGTAGCTTAGTCCATCCCAGCCAGCCCCCAGTCCCAGCCTTAATATGAACTAGCTGGTGTTGCAACCTGGCCTGGCCTGTCCTGGTTCTCAGATCTGCCTTGGGGTGTTATGAACTGGCCCAACTTGGCCTGCCCCCAGACCTGATCTACATGTATGCTGGCAGGTACTATGTCCTGGCCTGGTCTGGGCTGTTTCCTGACTTGGCTTTTGTGCTCACCTACAGGGATTGTGTCCTGACAAAGGAGCTCCCTAATCTCCTCCCAGTGGCAGATCTCATGCACACTGGTGCGTCCTTAACCCAAACTGACTTAGTCCATTTCCTTTCCTGGCAGGAACAGTGGCCTTACCTAACTGGCCCATACCAATTCCAGTACTTACTGTTGGTGTTACAGCCTAGCCACACCTGATCCACACCCAGATATAGCTCTTCTATGGTTCAGCAGGAGCCAAAACCTAGCCCAGCCCATCCTACACCTACCCTGGCTCTCATAAGCACCAGTGGGTGCTAGAGCTTAGTCAGTCTGACATGCCCCAGATCTAGTCCACACCCATGCTGAGGGAAACTGCAGTCATGTCCAGCTCAAGTCGCCATCCCCATTCTCTCCAATGGGAATCACAACCCAGCTAGGGTATCCACTTAACTCCCTAACCAGGCCTGTTCTGAGCCACAGATCTTGTGCATCCCAGTGGTTGCTCTGACTCAGCTCTACACAGCCAATTTCCCGTATTGGCCTTTGCCATTGGATACTGCAGCCTGACCTGGCTCAGTCTGCCCCCAGTTACAACTTTTGCTGGTGGGTGCTGCAGCCTAGCCATGCTCAGTCTGCTCCCATCCCTGGCTCATGAAAACCAGTAGGTGTGATAGCCTTGCCCAGCATGGCCTACACTCCAGCCCAGCTCCTGCACATGCCAGTGTGCCAAGGTTTGGCTCAGCCCTGCCTGGTCTGCCTCCCTCTATAATCAACGCACACACTTGCCGACAGGCGGAGGTACCTTGCTCAGCCTTCCCAACACACAGGCCTGAATCACATGCTCATCAACAGGAGTTAAGACCCACCAGGAAGCTTCCTAAGTTCCAGCACCAGGCCTACTTACAGACCCAAATCTCACATATGCTAATGGGTACTAGCCCTTACCCAGCATAGTTTGCCCTCTGTGTCCTGGGCTATGTATGAGCTGGTAGATGTTGTGACCATCGGCCTACCCCACACCCAATATCCTTAGGTGTGCTTGCAAATGCTGTAGCCTGGACCAACCGAGCCTGTATCCATCTTCCTGTACCATCTTCCACAGCTTTCCCGAGTGCATTAGCAGGGAGCTGGATTAGAAGTGGAGCAGCAGGACTTAAACCAGAGCCTATGAGGAAACATCAGTACCCATGAGTGTCAAAGGGTTCCATGCCTAGCTCAGCCCATCACTACCCCCAGCTCTTAAGAAAACCAGCAGAAATTGCAATTCTGCAAGGGTGGGTCTCCACACCTCCCCCGCATACACACACACAGTAGCTGCCCCTAGACCTGATTCTCTCATGTGCTTGTTAATGTTATGGCCCAGCCTAACTATCCATCCCCTGTTCTGATTCTCTTTGGAAAGTACTGTGATCTAGCCCTCCTCTCCCAGATAAGGCCCTCAGCCCTAGCTTTAGTGTGCACCAGTGAGTGGTGGTCTGTTGTGGTCGATGTTAACTAGCCCAGTTCAGGTCCCCCATGTGAGCTGGTGCATCGTTCTGACCCTTAAAGACCTTCCAGTTCCCCCCTCCAAACCACTTGGTCTCAGCCCCCTCACTTACCTGCAAGTATAATGGCCTTGTCACTGGAAGTTCCTCATCTGCAATATACTCCCTGAGCTGTCTGCCTCTCACACAACCCTTTACTATCTACCTCCACCCTCTACTACAGCATCAGATGTCCTCTGCAGGCCCCAATATATCATATTCTCTCTGTGCACCTGGCTATGCCACCCACTTCCTAATAAGGCTTTGGAATTGTCCTAATGATATTTTCTAGTTAGCAAGTGCACTTTGGTCTGTTGCCTCCAGTTTTGGTACTGGAACCGTAGGCAATGTCTGTTATAAGATATTGCTTGACAGTTAGGGCCAATTTAAGCAGTTTTCTTCCAACCAATGGTGTCCCCAGCCTACCACTCATCCAACCTAACACTCAAATTGGTTTGAAATAGCCTTAAATCACTATAGTTTTTTCCTGCTTTTCCCTGGCTCCAGAGCTTCTAGAGGGTTAGACACTACTGCCAGGGACCAGAAGCCCCTCAAAGTCTCATGTATTCTTGGTATGTGGTTTGCTCTTAAATACTTAATTAATATTTAATGTATAAGCTCTAGCTACTTAAGTCTGAAGCTAGAATTCTAAATTCACTTCAAAAGTGATATTATGACTAATCTGGTAATGAAATAATAAATTTTCATAGTGATAAAAAAATACCAATATATTTTGTCTTAAAGAGTACTGCTGATCCCTTTGTCAATTCCACCCCCAGCCCCATCTCTCATGCAAATTTATGGGTACTGTGGCTGCCCACCTCAACCCACTGCAGGCCCAGTCTTCATGCATATCAGCTGTGGCCTAATCTGGGCAACCGCTGATAACTCTCACCAGGCCCATCCCCAGCCCCGGTTTTTGGGTGTGCAGGCATGTGCTACAACCTAACCCCATCAATCCCATATCCCATCTGGCTCTGGTGCACCCCAACAGGTACTGCACTTAGCTCAGCCTAAACTACTCTAGACAGCCCACACGTATGACAAGAAGGGCTGCTGCTTTGACCAGCCCAGGCCTCTCCTAGGCCTGGCTCTCATGTTTGCTAGCAGGAGCTGTAGCCCAATAGTGGTGTTAAATTAGAAAACTTCAAAAATGAACTTTTACTGCTACTTGTAATTCTTTAAGACAAAATATATTGGTATTTTTTTATCACTATGAAAATTTATTATTTCATTACCAGATTAGTAAAAATCATTTTGGGGGTTGGCATTTGACACCTTAGGAGACCGCATCCCATATCAGAGTGCCTGGGATTCAGTTCTGCTACTGATTCCAGCTTCATGTATGCATTCCCTGAGGGGCAATAGCTGATGGCTCAAGTAGTTGGGTCCCTGCCTCCCAGGTGAGAGACCTGCATTTACTCTTTGGTTCCCTGTTTTGGTCCAGCCCAGCTCTCTGTTTGTAGCAAGCATTTGAGCAATGAACCAAGAGATGGGAGTTTTGTTTCTATGAAAAACAAATAAATAAATAAATAAATATGTTTAATGCTAGAATAATCCATATGTCCAAATCTTTAAATCCTTTATTTTATATGGAAGAAAAACTGCTTAGAAAATAGGAACCACCATTGTAGCAGCAAGTTAAGCTGCTACTTACGGCACCATTATCCCTTATTCTCTGTTTGAAGATACAGTTGCTCCACTTCCAAAATAACTCCTTGCTAATGTGTCTAAGAAAGCAGCAATGGCTGAAGTTCTTGGGCCCCTGATAACCATTTAAGAAACACAAATACAGTTCCAAGTTCCTGGTTTGGCCTGGCCCAATCCTGGCTGTTGGGGATATTTAGAGAGTAAACCAGCAGATGAAAGATCTGTGTGTGTGTATTTGTGTGTGTGTGTGTGTGTGACACAACTCCTCTCTCTGTAGGTTTGCCTTTTAAATAGATAAAATCTATCATTAAAAAATTTATTTTTATTGGAAAGGTAAATATACAGTGAGGACAGACAGAAGGATTTTCCATCCACTGGTTCACTCCCCAAATAACCACAACAACTGAAGCTGAGCCAATCCAAACCCAGGAACTGGGAGCTTTTTCTCGGACTCCCACTTGGGTCCTAAGTTCTAAGGCTTTGGACTATCCTCTGATGTTTTCCAGGCCATGAGCAGAGAGCTGGGTGCAAGTGGAGCATTCAGGACATGAACCAGTGCCCATCTGGGATGCAAGAACTTGAAAGCAAAGCATTAACCATTTGAGCTACCACATTAACACCAAACTTTATCTTTCTAAAACACATTGATCATTTTTAACAGAGAAACCACTCAACTCTCCCTCCCCTGTTTTTTCTGCTTTAGCTCTTATAGTGTTCATAATACCAGTTTCATTACTCACAGAAATAAATTTATAAAGAAACCATGTATGAGTTACATAGAGTAATAGATACACTTAGCTGAATTCTCTGAAAATTTTTCAAACATTTCAAAACTGAAGTATATAGATATTTCCAAAAATTTCACCCTTACATATATACCCAAGAGAGCTGAAGTTCTGCCCACACAAATTTGTTCATAAAGGAATTATTCATAATAGCCAATAAATGGAAATAATACAAATATCTAATTCAATGGAGAAGTAGACAAAATGTGTACTACCCATGTAATATAATGTTTGCTATAAAAAGAAAAAAAATGAAATAAGATCCAATATGGATGAACCCTGAAACTGTCAGCCGAAACAGCCACATTACTGCTTGATCTCATTTGTACGAAATGTCCAAATACAGAACCATCAGATATAAAGATTAATGTTTGCCAGAGCTAGAAAAAGGGAAGATTAGGGAATGACTGCTCATGGATATAGGAGTTTGTTTTGGGAGTGGTAAAAATATTCCAGAACTAAAAGTGCTGATGACTGCACAATTCTGAGAACGTAGTAAAATCACTGGAGTACAATGCAAGGTAACCTTTGTGGTATATGAGTTCTACCTAAATAAAGCTTTAAAGTATGATGCTTCTTTAAAGAGATCATAGACAATTAACATCATCTGTTTTAAATCATTTATTTTCTTGAGAGGCAGGCAGACAGATCTTCCATCCCTGGTTCACTCCATGATTGCCCACAAGAGCCTGGGCTGGTACAGGCTGAAGCCAGGATCAGAGAACTCATTTGGCCTGCCATGCAGGTGGCAGGGATCTAAGCAACTGGCTTATCACCAGCTACCTCTCAGAGTCTGAACTGGAAGGAAGCTGAAGTAAGCAACCAGAACTGAGGATCAAATGCAGCTACTCTGATACGGGATACAGGCAACCTAATTGGCATGTAAACCAGTGAGCCAAAACCCTGCCCTTACATTATGTTTTAAATCCATTTTACATGAATGTTTTGAAGTATGTTATTATACAAATATAACAACCTATTCATATTGAATTTTTAAGTGAAGGTTTCACATTGTATAAGGTGACAGGAACTGTTACGTGTGTATTTATGTGTACAAATACAAATCATCCTTAGTTTTTAACCAAAAGTTTTGTTTTAAAACAGCATTCTCAATACAGTTAAAAACAGAAAACAAAGCAAAATACTTTTTAAATGTGAGTATATTTAAAAAATTAAAACACCTAAGAAATGCAATCTATACATATGAAAAAGTAAAATATTTTAGGCATAACAAGTAGTTGCAACATTATCCATAAGCAGCAGTTAGTGTGTCTATTCCCCATATTTTGGTGAAAACCATAGTGGTAGTTTATTCTTTTTAGAGAAATTATTTAAGGTACATGTAGTTTATCATGAATAAGCTATAGAAGACTGTGTAATTGGAAAATTAATTCCAAGAAACAGTATATCCTCTAAAAACATATTTATTATTAAACAAATTTATTTTAAACTAGTGAACAACAAAATGAACCTATAAGTTATTAAGTCCAAGATATATAGTTAACTTGCATAAAATTACATATGGCATTTTATAAAGAGACTATTTCTAAAATATCAGTAATTCGGGCAATTGGGATTTTCACAAGAGATAAACTGCAATTAATTTTTTTTAATGAAATAAAGGTCTGTTTTAAGAACAGTATGACAGAAGAAATGGCATAGCATATTTTAAAACCAAAATGTTGAAACATATGCATCAGGATATTCTTTTACAATTAACAGCCCCATAGCAGCACTTCAGGTGGTTTAAATAACCACATGCCCAAATGAGTGGGGTTTTAATCTCTTCTAGAAATACATGTTGCATGTATTGCTTAGTTAAGAATTTTAATTTCCATCATAAATGGGAGCTTATCAAAATAATCACCCAATGATATAAGGAATAAAGTACTTGGATAGTCTAGTACTTTATCAGAAACATATCTACCAACTTCACAAAGACTTTTACTTGTAAGTAAAAGGCTGAAAATTTCTGATTTGGGAGAAATGAAATAAAATGGAGTGAGCAGTTTTCTCCTCATCACCAACTGTAAAAATCCTTTTTGCCCTATTTATTTGACCCATCTCTATTCATGCACTGCAATGAAATGAGCCCTCAAAAGAATTTGCACATCTTTATACAGAATTCACACCTACATCAGTAAACTGCCAGTCCTTTTATATTTTCAGTGCCTTATCAAAATATGGGTAACAAAGTTCTTCATTCTATGAGGCAGGAAGATGTTTCCTAAGTACTTCTTTGGATGACGAGGAAATAGTATCGGGGAAAGACACATCAAATTCTATTAGAAGATCACCACGCTGGTCAGGATTTTTTGGAAATGGCAGCCCATATCCAATAATTCTTCTCCTCATTCCAGGCTTCACAATATCATTTATTGACATAGGGATGGTTCTTCCATCCATTGTTGGAACATTAATTGAGCAGCCACATAATGCCTAAAACGAATCAAATTAAGGAAAATTAACAAACTTCACAACTTAAAGATCCAAGCACAAATACTGAGGTGGTAATAGATAATATCACTAAAGTAAAATCTTAAATTCCTTTCACGATATGCAGATTCAGACATGTACCAAAAGACAGGAAGGGAAGGGAAAATGGCATGAAAAGGGAGTCTTTCACATTGCCATGGAGGGAAAAAAGTGATTTTAAACTGCTGTTATAATTCAAGGTGCAGAATTTTTGAGGGGGTGAGGAGAAAGCAGCTTAGAACTGGAAAGAACAGGATTGAAGCACCACCTACCGCTGGAAAACCACAGGACAAAAAATATATTTGTTTGAGTCAATAAAAATTCTCTATGTGGTTACTATTTGCCACACAGATGTAAGATACTGAACCATTAGGAACCATGAACAAAGCTCAACCTCAAGGAAAACACAAAGAACTCACACAAACACACAGGCACACTAAAAGTTACAGTGCAAGATAGTGTGGGCACAGAGGTAAGTACAGAGGTATTCTGTAAGAAAGGGCACCAAATTTACCTCCCCGGTCCTGTTTTGCTTTTGCAAGTACGGCATAATTGAGCTAAGCTTTGGACCAGTCACCAGCAACAGGTATTGATAAAGGCAGGAACATTTGTATAATATGACACAGTGTTCGGATAACAGCACAAAAATCATAAAGATCATAATACAGCACACTTAAAAGTCTATTTACTTATAGATAGAAATGACTTTTAAAGGCCTTTTATTTAATTGATAGTTCAGAGAGGCAGCAGGAACTCTCATCTGCCCACAGCAGCTTAAGTGGAGCCGGGATCAGAGCCAGGAGCTAGGAACTCAACACAGGTCTCCTGTGTGGGTGGCAGGAACCCACTTTCTTGAGCCCTCAGGGTTGCTGCCCAGAAAGGCCACTGGCAGGGAGCTGGAATCAGAAGCCAGAGCTACAGACTGACCCAGGTACTCCAATGTGGACTATATGCATCTTTTTTTTTAGTTGCAAAGTCAGATATACAAAGAGGAGGAGAGACAAAGATCCTCGGTCCGACGATTCACTCCCCAAGTGAATGGTGTGTGTGGTATATAATAAAATCTTTATTCAATTTTCAAAAAAATCAGCTGCACTGATCCAAAGCCAGGAGCCAGAAGCCCCTCTTCTGTGTCTCCCACGAGGGTGTAGGGTCCCAAGGCCCTGGGCTGTCCTTGACTGCTTTCCCAGGGCACAGCAGGGAGCTGGATGGGAAGTGGGGTCTCCAGGACTAGAATCGGTACCCATATTGGACCCCAGCAGGCCCAAGGCAAGGATCTTAGCTGCTAGGCCATTTTTTATGCATCTGCACTACTAAGTAAAATGCCCATAACTGGCCTCTTATTTGTGGCAAACAGTTTAGACTATATGGAAGACAACTATGTAGAACCACCTTAAGAATTTTCATCTGGTACACTAGAAAAATTTGTGGAGGGTTTGTAGCGTTATGAGAGCCTCAGGTTCTTTCTCTTTTGTGTTCCTGGACTTTCTGTACTGAAAACCAAGGCATCTAGGGCCTTTTTATTCACAGATGGAACTGCTGCTTCCAAACCATGGAAAGATGGGCTGATGCTTCAAGAAACAATATAAATAATATATTTTTCTTAAAAAAAAAAAACGAATTTTCAGGTAGGGAGTGATATAGGCTTTTTTGCAGGATTACTCTATAATTTGAGAATGATGCAAAGATCTCAGTTAAAAATTGTATTAAAACAGTACTATTATCAACTATAAGTTACCATCTTTTACTGCCTTTTCTTATTACATGGCTATTATTCCAAATGACTTTGAACAAATTTTATACACAAGCTAAGGTGATGAGATTACCATGCAGGTCTTATAAACCACACTTGCAAAAACAGAATGGTATTGAATAACATTAGGTTTCACAGTATAGAATGCAATCATCACTTAAAATTAACATTTAAATTATTAATATAAGTAGCTTGGGCCCAGCACAGTAGCCTAGTGGCTAAAGTCCTCGCCAGAATGTGCCAGGATCCCATATGGGTGCCAGTTCTAATCCCGGAAGCCCTACTTCCCATCCAACTCCTTCCTTGTGGCCTGGGAAAGCAGTAGAGGACAGCCCAATGCCTTGAGACCCTGCAACCACATGGGAGACCCAGAAGCAGCTCCTGGCTCCTGGCTTCTGATTGGCTCAGCTCTGAGCCATTGTAATCATTGGGAGAGTGAACCATCGGATGAAAAATCTTCCTCTCTGTCTCTCCTCCTCTCTGTATACCTGACTTTGCAATAAAAATAAATAAATCTTTAAAAATCTTTAATATAAGTTACAATCTAGAAAACATAATGCCACCCACAACGGATGTTTATTAGTATTACTGCCTCACAAGGCTGTTGTGAGGGTTAATGGAAAGAAATAGCAGGTCACAGTTGAGGAGGTCTGTATCAGAGTGTGTGGTTGAAGACCCAGCTCTGCTTCCTGCTAAGGTGCCTAGGAGGCAGCAGATAACAGCCCCGATACTTCATTGCCTGCCAGTCATGTAAGAAATCCAGATGAAGCTTTGGCTCTTGGCCTCTTGTGGGCATTTGAGGCATGCACCAATACATAGAAGTTTTCTCTCACCCTTGCTCTGTGTGTGTGTATGTGTGTGTGTGTGTTTCTCCTATCACTGCCTTTCAAATAGTAAATCTTTTTTTAAAACACAAAAAATATATAGTAACCACAGCTAAGTGTTAGCTATTATTTACATAATTCCCTAAGATCAATCAACTGCATAATTTTGTTTGCTCTCAGAATCATAGGTACTATTAACTTACCTCCCGTAAACTAACTTTAGCAGTATAAATTATATTTGATCCATCTCTTTTAAATTTGGGGTGCTCTTTGTCTTTAATAATGAAAACAATGTCTGCTGGAATACTATTTGGTGTTTCATCTCCTTCTCTTGGAAAAGTAATTTTGGTGCCTTCTTTCCACCCCTTTTTAATCTCAATGGTGAGAATTTTGTCCTCGGATCTGTAACTCCTTCCATCAGGGTTCAACCTTTTACGAGAAATCTTCATCCGTTTGGTACAACCACTGTATATTTCTTCAAGTGATACTCTAAGTTCACGAATAACTGGAGGATCTTGCTTGAGGCGGGACGGCCCCACAGAATTTCTGTCTCTGGGATAACCATTCATGCTGAATCCAAAGGCACTAAAAGGATCTCCATCAATTTCCATTTCTTCAGAATCTCTCCCACCACCCATCCGTCTTCCAAAGAAAATTTCAAAGGGATTGGAACCGCCGAAAAACGCAGCAAATGTGGCATGAGGATCTCCATGAAACGTGTATCGGAAGGTACCTCCTTGTCCATCAGTCCCTCCCGCTCCTCCTTTCAGCCCTAAGGGAAGACATAAGCGTGATTAGAAAAGAATTTGCTATCCTTGAAAGTTAAGCATTCAAAACCTGTATTGCTGTCAACTTAGGTTGCACTTTATTAATATTAGCCAAAGATGTTATTACAGCTAGACACAAAACAGCTGTGTCACTTTTGATGATTTTCATACTAAGTCAAATTTATACCAAATTCTTCCCTTAAATCCCAACACTTAAGAACTTACTTGTGAATCTGTTTCACAGATAAGAAAAAAAAAATAGAGACTGCCTTGTTTCATAAGCTACTTGATTAGCATACTGAAGTAGACAAAATTGTTTTTAAAAGATGTCAGTTGAAAGGTTTGAATGTTTATAATTATAACTAGTAATAATATGAAATGCTGTATTCATGGTAACTAGCTTTATTTCACGTTATCTCATTTTTCAAGAACTGAAATCTAACTCTGTGGCAGAAAGGGAAAAATTCTAATGAGGGAAAAACCAAAATATTTTACAAACTAAAATTGTTATACATACATAGATAACCATTTTTTCTAAATCTATGTAGGCATACCATATCATAGCATTAATTTCAAAGTATATAAAAAGAAAACTGCAATCAAGAGCTATAAACTCTCCTGACATGCAAGGCCTGGTTATTTCTGTCAATCGTGGATAACACGTCATACAGCAATATAATGACCCTTTGACTCTCCTCTCAAGAGCTCATCTAAGAGACATGTAGCTCACAAAAGATTACATATTTGAAATGGCATTTCCCACTATATGCCAAAGAAAGATTCTACTAAGACTTAGAAAAAAAACCAAAATAATAACCTTTTTATGGGGTTGGTACTGACAAGGATTTCTATCATTAGAGTACCAGCAAAATGTTCAAGTGAGTTTTATGGACATTTCTAACCAAGTCAACAAGTTGGAAAAGAATCTAAAAATTACAAGCTTAAAAAATCAAAATATTAAACTGGGAGATTCAAATATAACCAAACAGTGAATGAAGACAGGAGGTAAATTTTATTTATATTTGCATTGTTCATTTATACAGGGCTGAAAATGATAGGCATTTAATCATCAAATGAAGGAAATGAAGTAATTCTTTTACTTTTGTGAAGTTTATTTAAAAGGTGAAATAATCACAGAAACACATTCAAAGATACAGAGGGCTGAAGGGAAAGGAGGCAGCAAGACATTTCTCCTTTCCACAGGGACAAAGAGCACACCCCTCCCTGTCACCCAGGGAAAGGGAATGGTTACATGACCCCACCCTCCCTCCAGTCCCAGGTAAGGAGGAGGAGAACAATTAGAAAGGGTCATTTGACTGACAAGCAGGAAGACTCTATTGCATAGGGTGGGGGAAGTATGGATTCCAATTTGTGATTAAGCTTGCTACCTGCCTGTCCCATTTTGTAAATAAAATAATTTTTAAAGTTTTCCTGAACCAATCAAACAAACAAAAAGTCTTGAATATCAATAGAGAAGGCAGAAGCAAAATCATTACCAAATACAATCAGATAAGCATATATGGGATTTAATCATTTTAAATCTACTAGAAACATTCTACATGCTTTTGGCTTCTCCCATTAAAAAGGGCATATGTCAGAGTGTCAATTCATGTCTAAATCTTTAATTTCATACATGGATAGAATTCTAGAGAGAGCTAACATTCTGAAAATTATCAAAATGTGTATTGAATGATATATCCAAGTAGCAGTTACGCAAATTCCTTGTGGAAACTGAATGGCAAGTAAAAATAGAATCAGATCTTAAAATATACAGGACATACAAATCTCTCTTCCTAAATTTCAGTAGTATAATTATAACTGTAAATATCAAAAGCTAGGAAAGATTTTTTCTTTTTTATTTTAACACAAGTATAACACTAGGTCATGACCAAGGTGACAAAACCAATGTTTAACTTAATTCAATCATTTTATTCATCCTATACATAAGAGTATAATAATTTAATTGAAAGATAAATAAACTGGATAAATCAGCTTGCCCAATCTAACTTACACAAGAGAAAAGTGTAAATGCTCTAGACTCATAATAGATTCATGAAAAGAAAGAATAACATTTTTAGTTATTACATCATGAGTTTGGCTTTTCTCTAAAAACACTTCCTTTTTCTGCCAAAAATGGCAACTCAGGATTACAGAGTCCCTAAGAAGATTCACGCACAGTCTAAAGTGATTTATTTACTACTGCACACAAAAAGCCTCCTCTGCAGCTTTGAGGATTGCCCAGATACTGAACAGTTGACTATGCAGTTCATATAAAGATAAACCCTAATCTACTGACTGAGAAAATCCTACCGAAATTCATGCCACTATGTAAATATCATTTGCATTGCACAACAGTTGAATAAAATAGGCATATCATCAACCTAGTCAGTTCTTAGTCATGTACATTTAGACTGCTAATGGAAAATTTAGATAAGCCACTAGATTCCTTTGGCTGTCCAAAATGTTTGCTAGATACCATCATTTAGTCATTTGCAATGATCAAAGGATGCATTCTAGAATCCACAATTGTCTAAGCTTTGCCCAAAGGTTACTATTTAAAAAACAGCCTGCCAATGAATTTGCAATCTAAAAACAAGAATGTGCTTGAAAATCCAACATAATAGTAACTCCCACTAGTTAACTTGATTTAAAGCTCATCAAAAGAGCACTAGAATATCAGAATCTCAAAAAATAAAATAGCACTTTATAAAAACTCTTAAAGATATAATATGTAAAAAATTCAGATTGATAGTATCAGTTCAGAAACTTGCAGAAAAATGAAAACCTTTACACAGTTTTACTTCATAAAATCCCATTTACTTACATATTTTTAGAACACAGTAAACTATATAAAGAATAGAATGAACAAACTAGTTTAGGAAGAAAAAATTAAGCATAATTTTATCATATAAACTCTACCATTACAACTAGATGCTAGTTATTGGATAAAATAAAGCAACAAACATAATAAGGCAAACCTAAAGAAAAAAATTAGTACACTAGTGCAAGGATGTTATTAAAATATTTTTGAAAATTCTTCTAATACAAAGTTCTGTGCATATCCACTGAGCCACTCAGAGCTAAATAAATAAATAAATAAATAAACTTTTGGGGCGAGATAGTTCATATTCCAATTTTAAATTTCTGTAGTTCTGTATTTTTTGTTTACAAATGATTCAAATATTTTAAAAACTTCTTTACTTTTGAAAATATTTATTTAAAATACCACAAAATTAACCTACTGGAAGTAGACAATTAGGTTTTGGTAAATTTACACAATTATATAACCATCGTACAATCTAGTTATAGAACATTTCCATCATTTCAAAGAGTTCTTCAATTTCTATTTGTAGCTAATCCTTCCTTCCAACTCCAGGCCTAGAAAAGACATATCTGCATTTGCTTCTACAAATTTTTCCTTCTCAACCATTTCATATAAATATAAGCCTATAATAGGTAATCTTTAGCCTCCAAATTCTTTCATTTAGTATATACTGTGATTCCTCCAGGTTATAGCATGTTTCAATAAATTTGTCCCTTTTAATTGCTAAGTAGTATCCCACTGGATGTGTATTTCTTTTATAGTTTCACTTTTGCATTTTGTCTGAAACCTTTTCAACAATCCTACTATGAACATTCAACCTTTGCTCAGACATATCACATACAGAAGTCCTCAAAGAGTTTGTGGAAAATACATGACAGATCTATGTATACAGATTGCAATTCTTTGTTCCAAAACCAAATTATCTTTCAGTTTCATTTTCCTTCAAACTTTCAGTTCTAGTTCGCTTGCCTAAATTCCTAGGAGTGCAACTGTTGGGTTGTATTAATCCATTCAAGCTATTTCCATGGCAGTTTCCAGTCCATGTTTCTTTTTCCGATATTTATTACACAGGTGAGGGTGTTACAGACTCATATAGGCCTCCAATTTCTATCAGGATGAGAGGGTCAGGGGCACAGTGAGATGGAGGAATGGGACGAGTTAAATGTTTCAGTTTTCCTCCTGTGTTCACAGAGGTCTAACCCCTTTTATACAAACAATTTTAAACTGTGGGCATTAGACATTTTCAGAACATAAACTGGATCAGCTTTCTTAATTTGAAACATAAGCATTTAGCAATTCAACCCCTAGGTTTCTCAGTTCCTTTTTACCTTTTCAATATCCTAGTTTCAAGAATGTAATGATTATTAGGGAAAAAAACTATCAAGTAAACTATTAACATTTCCTCATTCTTAAATTTTGATGTTTCGCCACTTCTAGAGAAACCTACAGCACCAGGCCTACAGGTACAAACAGATCAATGAAAACCTAGGAGAAAAAAAAAAGAATTTTCCATATTTTTTCAGTGTACCTAAGGGGAAATTTTTAGAAATTATTTGACAGGATGACAGAGAGAGAAAAAAACATTTCTAGTTTCGGGTTCTCTGCCCAAATGTCCATGTTGCCCATAATGGCCAGGGTTGAGGCCCAGTGAAGCTGCATGCCAGGAATTCAATTCAGGTCACCCAGTTACTGAAGCCAACATCGCTACCTCCCAGATTCTCCACTAGCAGGAAGCTGGAATCAGGAGTCACAGCCTGGTTCCAAACCTGGACAGTTGATAGGGGACATGGTAGGGACACTTACTGGTGTTTCAATCTTTAAGTTAAATGTCTGCCCTGGATTTTTTTTTTTTTAAGAATTGAGATATTCTTAAGAGAAATAAATATAACATTGTGTGTAGCCACAGTAGTTCTGAAATATAATTCAAATAATTTTTATTAAAGCATCTTCAGGTAACCTAAAGAATGGCATTTCTGAATAATATATTTCAATGTTTTAAAAATCTATTTTCATCTCTTTCTTTTATTTCTACCTGAATCAAGAATAAAAATCTACTCATGACTATATAGATGTTCCCAGTTTAGTTTTCAAAAATTCATTCACTAGTCATAATAAGTAATAATCAAACAAGATGCAGAAAAACATTGAAAAGGTATTGCTAACCCAAGAAAAAATGTACCACTTAATAACTAGAAAATTTAGGAGGCAAATATCCTTAAAAATTCTGACTCCTATGCTTAGTCACAGATAAACTTGTGCAATCCATGATGTGGCTAACTATTTTAGATTTAAAGTAGGGGATATGTGCTTTTTAATGGGAATTTATAGTATTTTTGGATCTCCTTATAAAATTACAAAAATAATTCATTCAAAAAGAACACTGCATTAGAATCTCACATGAACTAAGTCATAGTACTGCTTAGCTTCTGAAATGAATCAAATCATGGCACTTTAAGGAGTATGGCTATAGGGAATCTGAAGAACTAAAATCTGCCTTTTTTAACATTTAATTTGTAAGAACTTGACATTATAGATCCTCACCACACCAAAATCAGCAGTATGAATTTCAAATTTTTGGTAACTTACAGACCAAAAAGTAAAACAAAGCAAGAAAAAAAAGAGCCTTCTCTCTATATAATCATCTGCTTGTCTACATTTAATTAATTTTAAAGCAATCATTGCTTAACCATATTCTAAGAATATATTTCTAACTCAGATTTTATATTAAACAAAACAAAAAAAATTTTGATATGAAACAAAGGGATAACAAAAAGTTTTTCTAACCACCATGATTCAAAGACATTTTGGGGGAAACTAATAACATATCTGATTCCTGCTTTTACAACTTATAAATTCCAGAACATGTGGGAATTAATTTTTTGTTGTTCCATTTGTGATTTTTTAAGTGGTCTTATTTTAATAGCTATATTATGGAAATGGTGAATAAAACTGATATAAAATCCAAGATAACAAAAGGATATTAAATATTAGTATATTAAGATATTAAAGATAATAAGGATATTAAAGATTTTAAATGATTTCCATGTACTGTGTTGCCTAGTTTCTGATACCAATTCAAGAAACAAAAGTATGGCAGAAGAGGAAAAGGAAAGTTGTTCTACTTTCCTCCATACTCACACAGCAAGGTTACAAAAGAACCTGTTACCTAAAAGACAATCAATAATTGTTCTTACTAGGTGGCCATTTTAGGTCAAAAACTGTATTTCTGAGATTTCATTTTCTTGGCACAAAATTACTGTTTACAATTAAGCTAAAAACTTGTTCTGGTATTTTATGACATCAGGAAAATTCTTTCCTCTCCAGGCAGAATGCCAAAAACAACTAGAAGCTAAATGCCTGAGCTCTCTGCTTCTGAGGGACGACTCTGTCTTGTTCAGTCTAAGCTAGCTTTGCCATAAGAAAGGCAAAAACTTCCTCTTGTTTTTAATGACTAGTGTAAGCTAACTACCCCAAATTTACCTGCCAATCCTACGATGTTAAATGTCTAAAGTCTCTACTAGTTACAGCAGAAAATACATTAAAAAACAAAACAGGTTGCATAAGATTTTTTTTAACACAATTCTTTAATGAGTATGAGAATTTGCAGGGTTTTTTTAAATATACAATGTTAACATCATAAGACTAACAGTAGAATCTGTATAATACAAAACGCTAACATTTTTTTGGAGGCAAAACAGGAACACTTCATTCATAGCTATTATTTACTTATTCATACGCCAGGATTATAAACCCTGATCAGATTTTCACCCTTTATTTTTCTATTTTGATGTGTCTCAGAATCCAATTTTATTGATAATGAGAAGCCTGAGAGAGAAAGCAAATAAATAAATAAAAATAAACCAGGGGAGAGAGAGGGCACAAGAGCCAGAGAGCTGAAGAGACAGCGAGATATACATGGAATGCTTACCTTCCTCCCCATACTGATCATAGATTTCTCTCTTTTTAGGATCACTCAACACTTCATAAGCTTCTGCGACCTCTTTAAATTTTTCTTCTGCCTGAGGAGATTTGTTCTTGTCCGGATGAAATTTGAGGGCTTGTTTTCGGTAAGCCTTCTTAATATCGTCATCTGAAGCTCCTTTTTCAATTCCCAAAATGCAATAATAGTCTTTCCCCATTTCGAAAGCCTCGCAATGAACTTAGATTTCCCTTTGTAAAGGAAAACAGCGTCCCCAGTCTTAGCCGTACAACGATTCTGAGAAAAAGAAAACGAGCTGGGTATTTTAAAAGTTAAAGCGACGGAGCTAGCTGTCTTCAGGCAGCAGGCAGACAGCGTCTCTGTATTTAATTCCTTCCCCAACAGCTCACTTACAGATAAATATACACTACACAGGAGCCGGCCTCCTTCTGGATCCTCCCATTTTCACTACGTGTCTGTACTTTCTAGAACAGCAAATGCTGCAGGACGTCACTTTCCCAGCTGCCTCTAGTCAAAGTACTCAGCTAGCTTTTCTCCTCCTCCACGATTAACTATTCAGTTTCCTTTTGGCTCTGTCGTTTCTATTTCCTGCTTAAGAAGCCAAGTGGATTCAAAAAAAGGAGGAAGGAAAGAAAGAAAGAAAACAGTAGTTCAACACAGAATGTCCTATCTACATATTTATTCCATTCTAGGTGTAAAGCAGCAAAAATACTAATAGCCACTAAGCAACCCACATTCAAATGGTAAAGTATTACAAAAATGAAAGCACTCTTGCACTTATCTTGGGTTTTGAGATTCAATTTCAAGTTTTTAAGTATTATTAAATACACAATGGTAAATGTTTAAGTTAAAAATCTCAAATAATATACACCATTTTTTGAATTCCTGGAGACTCCCTACTAGAAATGCCAGGAAGTCATCATACCAGTTTTGCACTGTAAAAAGCCTATCTTTCATAAAATTAAAATACAGTATTTTAAAACAAAATAATGACTTTTAACTAATGATTTTAATTAGATTTCTGTAGTATACAAGAGTTAAGTTCTAGCCAACTAGCACTTCACTGTCAAAGGTTAATAACTGAATCTATTTACTTCCACTAAAACAGAAGGAGGCCCCCACTTTAAGGGTCACTATTTAAAGACTTTTTGTGCTGCAGGAAAACTAGAAGGAGAGTATCAAATTACAGATTGTACATGCTCAGCTTCCTTTTTAAGACCTTAGCTGGATCAACTCAAAAATCTACTTAAACCAATTAATGGGCAGTAATAGAAGAAACATCTTTTCTTCTTTTAAAAATACATGTTTCCTAAATATATGTTCATTGTTACATATTTTGGAAAACCTAGAAAAAAGAACAAAATTTAAATCTCCCTGTCATATCATTTTAGGCAATCCCTTGTAAATATTAGTATATTTCTTTTGAATGCTTTTTTTTTTCTGTATTCTTAGTTCTTTGCCAAGTTTCTGTATCTTTTTAAAATAAAGTTTAGGTCATAGCCCTCTTGATACCTGTTTTCATATGACATACTTTGGATAAGTATGAGATATTTCAACTTACCTAACTTATCTTTTATCTCCTATATGGTTTCTTTCTCACCTTCATAGATGTGTTCCCAGCTCCAATCTGATATTGGAAGGATGGAATAATAATAAAAGGTAAAAAAAAAAAAATTGTACAAAATTCTACCCTGTACTTAGACTCCGGAACAATTTGGAAGTTTTAAGAAACCTTCTATGAGAAAAAAAAATGTGCCTATATGTTTAAAATATAATCATTTAATCTTTAAAGAAATGGGAACACCCACTCCATCTGTCAAGCAAAGATGACTCAGCAATTCTGAGTTTTCAGATTTGAGTCTTGACAGCTATGATTTTCTGTTTCTCAAAATTTTCTACTTTAAAAATACCTTCACATTAGCAATTTCTAACATCTCTCTAGCCTACTTTACCAGTCAGAGAGACTCATCAGCTACTTAGCCGGTTTTTTAGGCCTATCAAGAATGCTCAATATACTTTACAAATCTAAAAATGTTAGGAGAGAAAAAAAAAAATCCAAAAATCACCTTAAGATTTTTACTTTAAAAAAAGCGTATTGCCAAGTTGGAATCCAGTACAAAGATCAGCATCTTTGTAGTTAGAAACAAAGTTAAAAACAAAATCACCTAATTATAGAATTAATTTACAACAGCTCTCTATGAAAAACCTGACATCGTTCTGGTGGATAATGGAAGGAGGGAAAGATACTGATCTTATTCAGTCATTTACAGAGAAACAAACATATTTCAAGACTGGACTGATTCTAGAACCACATGTAGACCTTTCACATCTGTGAGATGGAACATTAACAAATGAAGATAAATCTGGCTTTCTAGACATCAAAAGTGAAAAAGTAATTTTCATATTTCTTCAAACATCTCTTACATGCTGAAGTCAAATTACTAAAGTCAAAAAGCAAAAATGTTTCCCACAAAAATTTCAACTTAATTAGGAAGCAAATGTACTTTTTTGGTAAAGACTACTAAATAATAAAACGATATGACTAGGTATTGGTAAAATGGGCAGATACTTGCAAATTTGCAGCTTTGTAAAACTTTGCACATAATTTTTTTTGGCAAATAGTTAACAAAAAAATATTGTTTTTTTAAGTCTTATAAATGCTATAGCTGAAATTTATCCTTAGAACATTAAAAAAGACAAAAAAGATTAAGATGTCAAATGTAATAATTTAATGCATTGATATTATTATTAAAAGTATGCATTACACTGGAGATAATTTTACTCTTACCTTCACTTTCTCAAACTTAGCTGTCTCCTCTACTATGCTGATAATCCATTATACAATCACTTTGCATTGAATTTTGGTCATCCAAATTTGTATGATATGTAGTAATTTTCTGTTGGGGGTACAAATAACATCCCTTGCAAACAATTATCACAACATAAACAGGAAAAGTATGAAAAGGGATCAGTATTAGCAGCCTTAAGGGAAAATGGAGCAGAGAAGAGCTGCGATCAAGGCTGACACAAATCCAAAATCATACATAGCAATATTTTGAAATTGTTTAGAAACTATTCACAAATTTTTTATTGTGCAGCAGTACTTCAATAAATGCATGTAAAAATAACAGTATGAAAGACTATTCCCAGATTTCAAAATCTGCTTGCAAAAATTATCATTTAATTGCCTTTTTCCATGAATTTTTGGAAGTACCCACTATGTTTGGTAGAAAGTCAGAAGAGAACAAAAAGTCCATTGATTCAGTCATTGACATTTCCTTCTTCAGTTAAAAATTTTTTAACAAAGACATAAAATTAGTATTTGCACTTAAAATCTTTTCACTTTACCCCTCAAGCAATAGAGATTCAGAGAAGCACAATTATATTTTATTTAGACTTCTAAAGATTTACAATTTACTAAGGTGAAGGTCTCATGCTAGAGTAGTGGTAGGTATTCTTCCTTGACAGAAAATTACAATGTAGGGGGCCAGCTGAACTACAAGCACCAGGATCCCATCCAGCTTCCCATCCAGCTTCCTATTTGTGGCCTTTGAAAGCAGTGGACGAATGACTCAAAGCCTTGGGACCCTGTACCCATGTGAGAAATCCAGAAGAGGCTCCTGGCTAATGATTTCGTATTGGCTCAGCTCTGGCCATTGCGGCCAGTTGAGGAGTGAACCAGAAGACAGATCTTCTCTATCTCTCCTTCTCCCTGTAAGTCTACCTTTCCAATACAGTAATAAATACATCTTAAAAAATGAGAAAATTACAATGTATATTAAAGAAGCGACTTATATTTTTCCAAGCACTCTAGAAAACTTACTGTTTTATCAAGTTAGTGGCAAAAAAGTTTTTTTGCTTAATAATATACTGAGGGGAACTGTGCCATTGTATTTTAAAAGGACATGAACCACAATTACATAAAAAAAGTCTAATAACATTATATTGTTTTAAACAACTTTAAGTTTTCTACTGGGAATACTATATTTTAATAAGAAATACAGAGAATTTATTTTTATAGAAGTATGAGTTTGGAATCAACTTAAGTAGGAAAATTTTTAGATAATAGCATTTTAACCACAACAGAAAATACTAAAAGTACAATTAGTCATTCAACTGATGCCATTTTTTTTTTACTTTGGTTTTATTCACATATAACTACGAGTTTTATTCCTCCAATTCACAAATCATTCCTCAGTTTAGAATAAATTATAACAAAGGACAGTAACGACTTACCATAGTCTCAAAAAAATTAGTATTAAAATTCACATTATCACTTACATACCCGAAGACAAGTTATTGCTAGTATTTTACTGATATACATAATAAAGCTTTCTCTGCCAGGGCTTACATTGTGACATAGGCAGATTAAAACACTGCATGCAATGCCAGCATTCCATACAAGTGCTAGTTTTTGTACCAGCTGCTCTATTTCCACTCCAGGGAAAAACAAAGATGGCCCATATGAAGCTCTTGGCTTCAGCCTGGCCATGGTGGCCATTTGCAGAGTGAAACAGTGGGTGGAAGACCTCTGCCTCTCCTCCCTCTCCACTGACTTTCAAATAAGTAAGTCTCAAAAAAAAAAAATGTGTCAATGCTAAATGTTAAGTAGGTCACATTTAGTTCTTAAATTGGGTTTTTTTTTTAATAAAGATTTTAATTTTATTGAAAAGGCAGAGCTAGAGAGAGATAAAAAGAGATTGAGAGATATAGAGAACGAGAGAAACTTCATTCACTTGTTTAATTCCCAAATGAAAGCAATGGCTGGGGCTGGCTAGGCCAGGTCAAAGCCAGGAGCTTCTTCCAGGTCTCCCACGTGCATGCAGGACCCAAGCATGTAGGCTACTCATTGCTGTTTTCTCAGGAACATTAGCAAGAAACTGGATTGGAAGTGGAGCAGGTGGAACTTAAACTGGCACCCATTAGGGATGTCAGTGCTGCAGGCAGAGCTGTGAACCACCCAGCCATAACACTGCCCTAGTCCTGAAATTTCTTAAATAATGATTCAAATTATGACTTCCACTTCCTAATAACTCCTATCCAAGAATGAGAAATTTTTAAAAAGTTTGAAATTACCCATTAGTAGTATTATAGATAGTTGAATATATACGCTCAAATGTAAGTGTGCAACACTGGTTGTAAAATTTGACAAGGTGGCATCAGAGAGTATTGATAGTGGAGTGATTAACAGCAGATTTTGGAGGCAGACTGGGTCAAAGTCCTGGTCACACCAGTTACTAGCTGTGTGGTTTTGGACTTCACCTCTCTGTGCTTCAGTTTCCTCAACTGCCAAATAGAGTTAATCTAACATTAATATCAACTTCGCAGTGGTGTTGTAAGGATTAAATAAGACATGTGATACACTTTAGTGTGATTAACACACAGTAAACACTATGGAGGGATTACTGTTAGTGACAATGATCTCATTATATGAACAGAAAT